ATCCTACTTCGATTCTATCATTTCCCGATCATCCTTATCCTCCCTTTCTTTCCTCCTTCTCCTCTCTCCTCTTTCTCCTTCTTCACCTTAATCACCCCCACCTTCTCCCTCTTTCCCCTCTCCTCACTCTACCCTCCTATCTCCCTCCCCCTCCCCTCCTCCCCCCACCCCTCTCCCCTCTCTCTCCAATCCCCCCCCTTCCCCCTTCCCTCTTTCCCTCCTCCCCCTTCCCCCTCCCTTCTCCTCCACCTCCCCAACCCTTCCTTTCCCCCCCACTCTCCCCCAACCCGTCTCCCCCCCTCCACTCTTCTCCTACCCACCACCTCCCCCAACCTCTCTTTCCCTATCCACTCTTTTCCTCCCCCACCCCCTCCCCAACCCCTCCATTCCCCCTCCCTCCTCACTCTTCTTCCCTCTCATCCCCCTCCCCCAACCCCTCTTCACCACCCTCCGCTCTTCCCCCATTCCCTCCCCAACCCCCCGCCCCTCCACTCTCTCTCCCCCCTCCGCCCCCAACCCCACCCCCCCCCCAACCCCTCTCCACCTCCACTCTTCTCCACCACCACCCCCTTCCCCAAACCCCTCCCTCCCCCCTCCCCCCTCCCCCGTCAGCTCCTGGAGCGGGAGACGAGGCGGGAGCGGGTCCTCGAAGCTCGCCACAAGGAGCAGCGCCTGAGGGAGCGGGTCCGAGGAGGCGGCGCTGGCAGGGGGCTGATGAGGCGAGCCGAGGAGAGCCACGAGGGAGACGAGGCCGTGAAGCGAGCTGAAGAGGAGTACCTGAGGCGAGTGGAGCAGGTGAGGGAGAATGGGTACTGGAGAGGAGAGGATTCCGCAGATGGCTCGGAGGCGCTAATGGGCTTAGAGGAGGATCAAGGAGGCAAAAAAAGGCTAAGGGGTAATGATAAGGCAATAGGCTAATGGAGAGGGAAGACAACGGAAGGTGAGTCGCCGAGGATAATGGGATTATGAGGACCTCGCTCAGTGGATAAAAGTAATGGGCGAATGATTGGTTACAGACACGCAATATCCTGCCGAAGGACACTTCCTCAGGACGCGTGGAGGATGGCCATCTTATGCCCCGAAGAAGGAGCTTGGAGCTAGAAGGGGCATAATCGCCTATTTCAACACGTTTCGCTTGTTTAGCCTGTTTACGTGCTCAGCCTAAATCTCTATTCATACATATAATGCTAGATATATAAATATTCATGTATACATACATGCATACATACACACACACACACACACACATACACACACACACACACACACACACACACACCACACACACACACATACATACATATATAATATAATACATATATATATATATATATATATATATATAATAATATATATATACACACATACATATATATCCACTTATATATATGTTGTGTGTGTGTGTGGTATTTGGTATATATATAAATGCATATATATATATACATATATCATAATATATATATATATAATAATATATATATATATAATATATATATGTACACACACACACACACACACACACAGAAACACACACACACATACACACATACACACATATATATGTGTGTGTGTGTGTGTTGTTGTGTATATATAATACATATATACATATACATACATATTACATACATACATATATACATATAATATATAATATATAAATATATATATATATATAGATATAATACATACATATATATATATATACACACACACACCACACACACCAGAAACACACACACACATACACAATACGCGCGCGCGCGCGCGCACCGTATTACGTATATCTTCAACCACATACACACATATATGTACACATACTGTATACACATCCATCCTTCAAACAGCTGAGGTCGCAGCTGGATGAAGAGGAGGCAACGCCATCTACCGTCACTGTCCGAATCAACAATGCAGATGAAACGAATGCCAACGATGCGTCAGCCCAGGTAGGTGGAGGAGGTAGTGGGGTGGAGGTGGGAGGGGAGGAGGAGGGGGAGGAGGAAGGGATGAGGGGCGAGAGGGAGGAGAGAGGGAAGAGGAGGAGAAGAGGGCGCTGAAGAGGAGGAGGGAGGTGGAGGGGAGGCAGGGAGGGGAGGAGGAAGCGGGAGAGGGGAGTAGGGCGAACGCAGACCTGAAGAAGGGAGCCATCGACGTTCAATGTCTTGAAGGAGAGTAGGGAAAGAGGGAACAGGAGTGAGGAGGACGGTGATGGGAGGAGATTAGAGGAGCCCAGATCTGGCACGATGAAGAGAAAAAAAACGGTGCAGTCGGGGAAGAGTGAGTGAGGAGGAGAGCGGAGATGGAGTAGGGGGAGAGGAGATTGAAGGTAGGAGACGGAGTCAGCTTCACCAGAAGCGAGGTTGAAGGAGGAAGATAGACAGGATAGTAACGTGACGTAGCACTCTGCACGGCGTGCTGAGGTAAGGATGACACAAGGAGCCTCGACGCAGTATGACGCCCATGAAGGATGGAAGGTGTAACGACGATGGGGTGTGAGTGGGAAGGGTGGCAAGGAGGAACATTAGGAGTAGAGGAGATAAAATGGCTCGACAAACTTGACGCGTCGTGTTGTAATGGGTAAAGATCTGATCCAAGGTGTTATATATTGTGCTAGTCCAGATCCCTGAGGACGGCTATAGGTAGTTGACTGATATTTAGGGGGAAATGGAAAAAGATGGGTAGAGATGGGCAGCATGGGAGTGAGGAAGGGGAGGTAGCGAGGCGAGATGGTGAGTTTGCTGGGTACGAGTGCGGTGTGTTGGGAGAAGACAGGATAGTCGAGAGACAAGAAAAGGGCAGGGGGGCGACGAGGGGGAGAGGAGGATGGGGAGGTGGGGGAGAGGATATAAAGGGTAGGGAAATGGAAGAGATGGAATAGGAAGAGAGAATGAAGAAGAAAAAAAAGAAACAAAAGAATTCTCTGTTGAATATTATGAAGTAAGAATACTATTGGTAGAAGAATAAGAAGAAAAATCAACCATTACTTTAAACTAGAGGTTGCAGAAAATCAAAGAAAAAAAAGTTTATCTTGCATTAGGAGGAAAATTATTAGAAATAAAATAAAAGAAAAAATCTACTGTATAGCTTAGATAAGGAAGGAAAATATCTTAGATATGATAGATAGAAATTAACTGTTTGCCCTTGGTTAGGAAGAAAAATACCAGAGGGCTAAAATAATAAATTGTTTAACAGGAAGAAATAAGTAAAGATAAAAGTGATGAGAGAAAATTCGCATTAGTCTACATTGGTTAAAAATAGTCAATTAGAAAAAAAAGAAAGAAAAAAGTGAATGGAAAATAAACATTTACTGTATATAGTTCGCTTTAGAGAATTAAAGTATGCGTTGAGAGGAGAATGAATAAAATATATATGTGAGTAAGCATTCTAGTTATTATAGTTAAGAAGAAAAGACCAACAAGATGTAATTTAAAGAAAGAAACGAAATTAATCAAAGAAAAAAAAATAAAAGCATAAGGGTAAAGGAGAAACAAAAAAATAGACGTAGAATCACAATTCGGGTGGCATATAGCAAAGTAGAAGACAATCAAAGATAAAGAAAAGAAGAAGAGTGCACCCTCTCTCTTTTACTAAGCTCAGCATACGTGACATTACGGGCAGAGATATGTGAGCGAACACTCCAGCGCCTGAAACCAATGGTCCATATTCTTCCAAGGCTCTCAATAAATACAAACACAGACTAAGAAAGAAAGAGCAGCTACATAAAACATGAGAAAAGTGTAAGACAGTGAAACGATGATAAAGAGAAAAGGCACAAGATTTGTGCGCAATTAAGAAACGGTAAAAAAAGGAATGGAGGCATAGAGTGACAGAACCGGCGAAGAACTCAGCGGGAATACCAAGACACGTTAATAGAGACAACGAAAGAACATACAAAAAAGACTCACAAGCAGAATGAGGCGCTGGACTGAGCGCAATGTGAGAAGAGACAGAGACACTGGCGTGGGACTACGCGAGACATATTCACGGTGGAGACACTGATAAGCACCTGTCATGAGTTGAGCATAGAACACGAGAGAGGAAACACTGTCAGAGTAGTAGTAGAGTAGTTAAGTAGACAGACAGAAGAGGAAGAACTACAACCATGTTCAAATGTAGCTATATTTGAATAGGTCACTCGCGCCAGCCTGTGCTTACTCCCCTCGTATAGTTGCTCGGCACGAGACAGAGCTCGCTGGTGAAGTAGAAGAATGTTGAATTTCTCGCAGACAACGGAGGGTTTTTATGGGTATACTGGCAAGCGGCGCTGGCTGGTGGTGCTCCATCTCCGCGCAATGAGCAGAGCGGTAAGAGGACGTGAAGGTAGATAATATCGAAGCAGAGAGGGAAATAAGAGTACGCAATATATATGAAAACATATACTTACAGATGTGACATGGATGATGAGAGCGATGTCTTGTGTGATTGAGATGATCGAGTAATTTATCTTTGATGGTTTGCTTGCTGGTATCTCGCTCTTATCTCGCGTGAGAATGGTAAGGAGTGTTAGAGGAGTAAGGGAAACGGTCAGAGAGTCGCGCATGCTCTTTTTTTTTGTTCTCTATCATACTATAACTCTCCTGTCTCTTATTTTGAGATGTTGTGAAACTTTCTTTTATTTGAGTTTAGCGACATACGATACGACAGACAGACGGCGACGAGCATCTCATACACACACACACCACACACACATGCATATACATATTAACATACTTATACATAAACCTTCACATATTCACACGTAATAGAGAGAGAGAGATAGGATCGAGAGCGAGGGAGAAACAGACAGGAAGAGAAAGGAGGACAGGAGAGAGGAAAAGAAGTGTCTGGGAAGGAGAAAGAGAAGAGAACACACAGAGAGAGGAAAAGATGTGGAGAGAGGAGAAGGAGAGAGAGAGGACACAACAGAGAGAGGAAAATATGTGGGAGGAGAAAGAGAGAGAGAGAGAGAGAGTCTAACAGAAAACTTCGGAAAACGTTGCGTGAATGATTGAATAAATCTACACAGTCACACGTCGTTTGCGCAAAACTTTTACTCTTGATTGAATAGAAATAGTCATTTTCAAGTCCATCTGTTTGTTCATTTATATTTAAATTTCTTTTACCGGCTTTGCGAAGCACATAATACCGCAATAAGTATATACTCTCATGCATACTGTTGTTAGTAATTAAGAGATTTTTATATATATACATAATCGGAGGCGTACATCGATATTTCATGGATATACATACGGCGAAAATAAAGACTTTGTAAAACAGTTTTCATTTTTATACACACCTTCTAACATTAACTATCTCGTCCTAAGTGAATGATACAGAATGCTGTTGCCTTTCATGAATGAAATAACGTAAAAATAACTACTTCCTTTCTGTAACATCTTTGAAAACAATACCATAATATAGATAAAGGTATAAACAAGAAGTACTCAGAGAGCGCATACCTCCGCCAAGGCAATAGGGTCGCTGATGCAATGAAAATGTTCACACGAAGAATTGAAATAATAATAATAATAATAATAATAATAATAATAATAATAATAAAAGCAATTTAAAATGTCTCTTTCTCGCAATGTTAATGAATTTAAAATCTCCTGGATCCGGATTTGACATTTAAGTTGGGCTAAGACACACCTCTGGTAGCAAATTCATTTAAAAAATCATACATTTTGAAGCGATCCTGCTAACCAACGAACAAACAAACAAACTAACTAACCAACGAACTCTTTGGCGGAAGTAATATGTCTGATTATCTTCAACGCACAAGAGGTGCATTTGACCCGTTTCGATCATATCTCCATCAGAAACAAATGTATTTATGATGAATATATAATCGAAGCCGGTCAAATACACCTGTGAAGATACTCATTCTCATTCATAACTTTTTTTTTTTACATTTCTAGCAAAAGAAAAATAGAATAAAGTAAATTATATTAATATAAATAGATATAAATGAATTAATACCAAAATGTTTCTAGCAAAAGAAAAATAGAATAAAGTAAATTATATTAATATAAATAGATATAAATGAATTAATACCAAAATGTTTGATTAAATAAAAGGTAAGTAAATAATTTCATGTCACGTTTTTATCAACGATGCCCTGATTGGAAAGCAAAAAATTATTGCTATAATCATCATAAAAATAATAAAATAAATAGCAACACTATTGTG